CCGCCCTGAGCGTTAACGTCGGCGCCCGCCTCGAGTAGCCGCTCTACGATCTGCTGGTCTCCGCTCCAGGAAGCCGCCTGGAGCGCGTTACCGAAATGACCGCCCTGAGCGTTGACGTCGGCGCCCGCCTCGAGTAGCCGCTCCACGATCTGCTGGTATGCGCGGTAGGAAGCCGCCTGGAGCGCGTTACCGAAATCGCCGCCCTGAGCGTTGACGTCGGCGCCACCTTCAGCCAAGATGTTCTTGACTAAGCTTCTATAACCACGAAGTGATACCATATACAATAGCCCCGCATCCATGTTTGCTTCCAGGTATTGAAGCCCGTGATATGCATCAATAGTACTGAGAAAGCCTTTCCACCATTTGAACCAGCTATTGGCATCCCTTAGCCACTTTCCGATTTCAGCGCCGGCTTGTCCAGCTGTATCTTCAGCTAGGACTTTTTCTGCGTGGTCGAATATATGACTGGCTGCGTACCCTAGAAGCGGGTACTTGCGATGCTGTTCTTTATATACCTCCTTCGTACCTATAATGCCGGCTTGTCTATTGTGCAACAAACAGCAAGCCCAGAGACGGCGGTGGCTAGCACTTACAGGATCCGGCTCCAGCGCCTGGTCCAACGTCTGCAGCCTCTTGTTCCGGAGAAGGAAATCATTAACTGATAAATGAATGAACCGCACAGTTGTCGTATCCCCGCGTCGTATCTCGACTAGGCCTTTGGATAAGTGCTCGATGCTTTGCTGTATAGAATCGTGGTCAACGACGCCCGACTGACTCAACAACCCCTCGTCTCCTGTTTCAATAGCAGAATAAAGCTCTTCTGGCTTCAGTGGCCGCTGGGCAAACAATACCCACTGTAACATGAGTACTGTCTCAGCCATGTCTTCATCATCTTTGTTAAATAGAATTCCGAACACCTCTTCTAGCTCGCCTGGAATCTTCTCTAGCGCTTCTCGCATGGCCTTTCTCTTGCCCTGCACCTTGAGGGAGGCTTTGTTCAGTAGCTTAATAACAAGGACAACCCACATGAAGATCCCATCCGCCTTTCTCTCGATCTCGGCCTCGATTTCGTCATCTCGTTTCGCCAGCTTCGTTTTGATATATGTTGCAATATCTTCCCGATGGTCGCAGTGATTCTCGACGATCAACTCCATGCACTTTGTGATTCTGAGAGGCGGATGATGGCGTCTAGAGAGACAGATTCTCAGAGTGACGTCAGATTTCTTTGCTTCGGTGCTCAGTAACTCGAGAAATTCGACCACGTCCTGAATGTCTGTCTCATTGCACTCGTCCAGCGCATCCACAAAAAGAAGTAAAGGCTTTGATTTCCACTGTTGGATTACTGAAGCGATGAAAGTCTTCAGTTCTCCTTGTCGCCATTCCCACCCACGGCCTTCACTGGTGATTTGCTTCTTGCGGAAGATATGGACAAACTGTTCATACAGCAGGTCGTCTTTGTCCAATAGCTGGTATACAATTGACCGTAGCATACCCAGTGGAGTCTTCTCTAGAGTATTTCCTCGCGCGTTGAAGAAGTACGCAACGATTAGATGATCGGAGAATTTCCTTTTACAGTATTCCAGCGCATGTCTCATCAATGTTGACTTGCCCGCTCCCGGCTTTCCTCTGATGCAGAGCACTCCATGGTTATCCGTCAGATCTGTGCGATCCCGCCATTTCTCAAACTCGGGGGTATCAAACAGCCAGTTACACGTGTGCTCGACAGCGGGGCTTATGTCTTGCTCGCGGGAGTCCATCTCGCGGAAGCCGAGGGTGCCGAGGCAAGCTGCGAAGTTGTCAGATTTCTGGAGGCAGTAGATTGTAAATTTAGCAAAGGGTGCACAAACCATCCTTTTCATTTTGCGGGACTCCGCCTTTGCTGCTGCCCTGGAGGTACATTTTGAGGTTGTGCGCTGTCAAGCCTTGGATCACAGTATGGCCTTGAACTTCTCCGCGCGATTCGAATCGAGGGCTCGAAGTGTCCATAGTGAAGCACTCATTGACATGAAGCTACTCGGAGGTGAAAATCAACGTAAGCATACGCGTGCGCCCTAGGATAGAGCCGTATGAGCGTGCATCAAAGGGTCGTCTCGTGGGGATATGAAGCGCAGTCGCCCAGCTCGACTGCAGATCGCAAGCAGATGGGCTGATGGGGCGAGGTTCTAGAACACGTCGCAGGACAGCTGCCTCCCCGCTCAGCTAAGGTGCCCTTCCCCCGCATACTGCTTCCATTCTGTCTCTGCCTGTTCGAGGAAACGAAACTGAAGGGTTGTAAACGACCACTACTTTCATTACCTACGGTTATCGTATGGTCGAGCCTAGCGATTTACGGGAGGCAGTGGGTTTATCAATTTTGCTCTTACACATTTAAGCCTTTACCTATTATCTATAACTTGCAGCTTTCCTTCGAGTTAACTGAAGGTCAAACTATTCGAGTTTCCAGACATCGTCGTATTTTGCAATATGTTCTTCCCACGAACAGACCCATAATTGTAAAACATCAGCCGTGCAACCGGCTTGGACGCGCCTTCCAGACGGTAGTCGTAGTTATCCGCTGCCCTGATCGTCTCGTCCGCTGTCTGTGTCTTCGCCACCTCTGCCGTTGGTATCATCAACAGCAGCTCCTTCGCGTATGCCGCCGCGGTACTAGCCGCGTACGGTTGCCATCTCTTGTTCTTATGCGAGTCTGCGTAGTCACAGATACCTCTGATAACGAGGCAAGGAAAACTGTCCATTAGTCCAGCTGCTTCCATCTCGAAGCATATTATTCCTTCTTCCGCTGCTATCCGGTCTCGAGTCAAGCCATGCTTCACTACTTCGTTGCCGGAAGCGATGTTGCCGTAGTAGATCTTCGGAGCCGAGCTAGTTCGAGGCGGGAGCCTCTCGATCACCTGGCCTGGATCGCACTCCTCACACGTCTCGCCGCCGATGTGTTCGTAAGCGGCTTGGTATAGCTGATCGCTCTCGGCACCTTGATATCCGAAGGTTTGCACCATAAAAGGCTTATTTGCCGCCATTTGCGAGAGGTGCTTGGCGAGACTATCACCCTCTATCATGTGCTTTGTCTTGACGTCTTGCAGCGCGTTGAGCAGCACCCGTGGTGGCTTGTCGAGTGACCCCGTTCGCTTGAAGATACCCCCTTTTTCTATCTTCCCAAAGTCCCACTGCACTACCCCGCCGTGTTTTCCGTCGGGCTGGCTGACTACCACGTCACCGAGTCGCATATCCACCTTATTGCTCCACACGCCTCCGCCAACCCCAACCATCAGTCCAATCTTTATCGGAAAGCTGCGGAGCATGTCCTTCGCGACCGTTGCGGCTGAGTTGTTGCCCATCATGCCAGCGGGCAGGCAGGCAACCACGACGTTGTGGGTCCCGATCCTACCAAATGTGTAGCTGTTCTCATCGCCTTCGACGGTCGGGAGGGGATCGTGGACGTCATCGAGCATTGCCTGAAAGGCTGCTTTCTCAACCGCCAGAGTGCATATAATGCCGATTGCGTAGTCTTCGGGGGTTCGCGGCTGCGAGTCCCGTGCGGATAGAGGTTGTGGCATTTTGCCTAGGTATCAGTCAAACCGTTTGCTTCGCAACCTGGTTGTAGGGTTGAAGGAGGATAATAATTTGCACGGCGTGCAAGGAGCCTTCGTCGAGCCTTTCGATCAGAGGGGCTCGCGTCGTCTCGGAGGATAGCTTGGCTCGTCCCGTGACCTCGCCGCATGCCCGGTAGGCTTCTGCCACGCCGACAAGTGTCATTTGAAGTCGTCGGTAAGGAAAGCACTGGGATTTGTGATGGTGCGTATCACGTGATATAATAGTATTATATCACGTGATACGCACCATCACAAAAACGGGACATCGCATTTTCTGGTACACTTCCGTCCATGTTGAGGCTCGCCCTTCCGTCTCTTCTTCGGCCTGGAGGCGAGCGCTTCGCTCTTGAAGCATTTGCTGGGTGGCTGAAGACCGACCACGTCCACCTCGTCTTGCGATATTTGTACCAGTTGGTGATTGGTTTTGCGATCGGTTGTGGAAAGTAAGACCGACTCGTAACTTCTTGCCATCCTGGAACAGAATGCTCCAATCAATTAGTTGTGAACTGACGTCCGTCCAATCGATATCCAATCCCTCAAATTCGTGTCAAGTCATGCTCCCCTCGTGCAGTCACGGACGTGACGACGCTAGTCTCGTATGGCTGTACATTCTACACATGGCCCATCTCTTTCTCGACCAACCCTTCCAGGCGGGGACGCAGTATCATCTGCCAGAACGAAGCAGGTTCGAGCACGACGTTGCGCTCGGAATTTTTGGACACTTGTTTGTCATTAAGTAAGGTATTACCTTCCATTCGACGGAATAATGCACACAAACCGGCGGTTCTTCATTGTACGCACGCTGACGTCCAAAGCGTCCGTAGTCTTTTCCGGGTTCGCCGAGGCTCAGTTACAGGTTCGTACGTGTTGTGCCAATCTGCTATATTTAATGGGGTCCCGGCAAAGGGCGAACAGATCTGTTGACCATCGAAAGGGCTGTCATTTTCCTGTACCACGGAATCTTGCATCACCCACAGGCCAGGTAAGTATGAGGCCTCCGTCTCATTTGAGTCTCCCATGATTATGTAAATGAACGTAGGATGCCGAATGGGGAGAGAAATGGCGCTCTCTTCGGAATTGCAAACATGTCGATGGTCGAGTCCGTCCGCAGTCTCAAGAGGACGCCGTAGCGCATGATTGCCCCACACTCGCATTGGTCGGCGTCAGTAACGTTGACCTGCGACCGCATAATCAAACGCGCAATGAAGGCGTTACTATCACTCGTAAAATGAGCCATGCGTATAACAGTGTCTTCTCGTCGAATAATAATGCTGTTAATGTATTCTGCAGTCGCCAGCGGCTGTGCAGTTATCTCGCGGACCACATAACCAGGAGCTTAAACTCTTGCCAATAATGAACACCATCATTCCGGAGATGGACCATGGCGATTCGAGCCACCATGGAATGATAGGAAAGGAATAATCGGACGTCGCATCTTACAGTGGGCGCGAAGAGCTTCAGTGGTAAAGGTCGCGATAGAAGGTTTAGTGGCGGAGGTGGTACAATCGATGTGTAACATTTTGTCGATCAGGCTTGATGGCGCGCTGAACGTTTAGCGCATGAAGATATAGGAAAATGAGATCAAATAGAGATGAGAGGATTAAAAGAATTTTTAATCAGGCCAGCGCAGCCGTAATTTCGTCGATGCGAAAGTAGCAGCCATCACCAGTCGAGCCAGTTGCCGCAATTCTCCCGCCACTGAAACAAGCTTCTGAGCTCAGGAGAGTTTCTATACAGGGCTCCACCGAACAGGCTACGGCTCGGTCTCAGAAGTGTTCTAATGTTCATTGGGTATCAGGGTGGTTGTGATCTGCGCGATCATGGTCCTTGATCATTATCTATGTGGACATTGTGGCAACATACGGCCATACTGTACATCTGCTGAGCAAAAATTGCTTTAGCCAAAACCGTACGATTCACTTACAAGTTGACAGTGCTTCCTTTCTCCAGAATTCGTCGGAACGATCAGAATCCCAGACATGATGTGCCATAGAATCTAATCAGCAATATCCGCGGTCTCAACCAAGCTCTTCAATCTTTTGGCGCTTAGTGATTTAATACGTAATCCATCAAATCACGTTAGAGCATTACGCGTTGTAGTTGATCTTATTGGATGTAGCTTCCACTGGAGGCTAGCCAACTGTAGTATAACGCCGTACTAACATTTGGAGCAAGATCCACCGATGACATCATTTACAGTTGAGGCAACCCCCCAAAATTTTTACCTTTTTGCTTGGCACTCTCTCAGGGATGGATTCTTCGGAATTAAGATTTTACAGACAATGTTAGCCTTGGTTGCTTGCCTGCCTGCCTGCCTGCCTGCCTGCCTGGCCCAAGCACACTTCTGGATCGCTGTCAATGTCCGACGAGCATTTTGATCGTGTTCAAGTGGCCATATGCGGCGGCGAAGTGCAACGGAACAAGTCCCAGGTAGCTAGCTCCTTGTGACATTTGCATTGTGCGCGAGTAGATATTTGCAAGGTTTCCAAATTTCCCGCAGCGGCCGCGACGTGCAATGGCGTCCATCCCGCGCGCTGGTGCGATCGTTTACAGAGGCCTTTCCCGAAGAAAATAGTTTTCTAAGGGCTGGTATATCGTTTGAAGCTGCGTGAAACATCACGTCGGCCATCGGGCGGGACGGCGACAGGGAATGAGAGACGGAGGTTCAAGGGAGTGCCACCCTCGTTGAATCGCGCGTAATAGTCCAAACGCCAAACTACAGCATGTCGAGCCAACCACCACGAAACTGGCACAAGGTCAATCAATACTGACAACCAAATCACAACCACCAAGGTGATGAGCAAACTGCGGTATATTCGTCAAGTCGCCCTGCATACCTGGCACCTGGCCAACATTTATCACTACTCGCGATCCGCTCCTTTTCGTCAATGCCTGGCAATAGACGGGACATGAGTGAGCCTAGTCGCCCGAGTAGCCATCACATGTCGTAGAAATGTAATGGCGGCCAGTGATAATCTCGTCAAAAAAAAAAAAAAAAATGCGGCTTGCTTTCAAGCCATGATACCAGGCGCTTCAGTCACTGGCACACCGCCACAGACCGTTGTCCCTGCCAAACGACCCTCTCGGAATTCCCGGTTCATCTCGGCCATGGTGCACCACTCGACGCCGCTATGACCGTTGATGTAGTTGATCAACCTCTCGTGCATGAGCATGATGTGCGCCTTGCCGCTGACCTGCGGGTGGATCGAGATTGGGAAGATGAACTGGTCATACTCACGGTAGTAGTAGTCGAACTGGTCCTTCCACATGCGCTCCACCACGTAGGGGTCGACGAACCCATGGGTACTGGCTTGCTTGAGGTTCAGTTGGAAGGGTGGCCAATCATCCAGGTGCCAGTTGGCGGGGATCTCGACGATCGAACTCGGCTTCAGCTCCGACATGCCTTCCATCCAGGTTGACGGTGCGACCGGGTCTCCATCTCCATCTCTGTCGGCCGCCATCATGGTCGTCTCCTTCCAGGTCGGCGTGTACGGCAGCCAGTATGGGAGAGCGTCGTGGTACATGAAGCTGTGGTCGTACTCGAGCCCGAACTCCTCCAGAAGCTGCACTGTTTGACGCGAGGCTTCGAAGCCCGGCGCCGTCCATCCCTTTGGCTTCCTGCCACATAATTGCGTCAAGACTTTGATCGACTCGCGAAGCACTTCTCGTTGCTGGTCCTCCCCGAGTGTCGTCACATACTCGTGCGTCCATCCGTGGAGCGCTCTATACAGATGTTGTGCAATTAATGACCGGGAGGGGGCTTGGAAATGGTACTCAAAAACGAAGAGGAATGAATAGGAATCTCACATTTCATGTCCAGCGTCTCGGACCTTTCGCACCGCCTCAGGGAACGAAACAGCCGTATGTGCCGGAACGAACCAGGTGGTCCTGATATTATACTTCTCCCACAACCGCAGGAGACGATCCGTGCCACAAGTCGCCCCGAAGACTCCGCGCGAGACATCTGTCGGTGATGCGGGCGATCCATTTCTGGTATTGATCCTGAAAATCATCGAATCAGACTCGAGAGATCGTTCAAGCGGGGGGTTTTTTTTTAAGCCTACCAGCCGCTGATGGCGTCCAGATCGATCCCATATCCTACCAGAACGCGCTTCATGACTGTAAACAACACTGTCTATAGATGGCAGTCGGAATTATCCGCCGTCCGGATGAGCTACATGAGGAGGGAGGCTTTGCCACCTAAATATCCTTCCTGGGAGCTCTTTATAGGGTTTGACTGAGGGCGCCAGGCGGGAAGGGCGCCACGGAGGTTGGATATAGTGGGTCTTTATCGATACCTCGTTCATCGGGGAAGGAGGAAAATCGCCGAAGTAAGAGGGTAATCCAGTCTTGTTTATCACTAGAAAGATACAGCCACAATTAATTTGTGCGGTCGAGGCTTTGTACATTGGGATTTTCAAGCCAGTTTGCCCACTAGAATTCCCAGGCCCTTGAGACATGCTCAGCTGGTGTTTTTCTTCGTAATACCCTCTGGCAGACATGGCTCCGCCGCCTGATTTAACATCTGATGGTCGTCTTGCCCAGTAATTGACCTCTCAGTTGATCTCTATTGACCCCGTTGACAGGATTACCCGACCCAAAGAAGAATTCCTCCAGATCGCGGAGCTGTTGGCACTCGATATTGACCCAACTGGACCGACTACACGTGCCCACATGAGGCAATACCGTGACCATGTAGTTATCCAGTAGTCGGGAGTTGATGTTGGGCTCGTCCTCGTGGACGTCGAGCCCGACACCCGTCACCTTGCCGTCTTCCATGGCCTTGAGCAGCGCTGCCTCATCGATCAGGGGACCACGGCCGACATTCACGACGCGTACACCGGTCGGTTTGGCCAGGTTGAACTCTTCCGTGGATAGCATGTGGCGCATTTCCGGGGTGCATCCGCAAGCCAGGCAGATGCAGTCGGCCGCTCTCAGCAGCGAGTGGATGGACTCGTGATAGACAGCCCGGTGACCCGGCCCGACCATCTCTTCCTGGTCACTCAGCCGCCGGCGATTGTGATAATGGATTTTCATGCCCAAGGCCGCCGCCGCCTTGGTTGCAATCACCCGCCCGATCGATCCCATGCCGACAATCCCCAGCACCTGACCCGCCGGATCCTGGGCGACAGAACCCAGCATCCGGCTCCTCTGCCAGCCGCCCGTCGTCACGGTGCGAGCGCATCTCTCGGCAAACGAGAGATATCGGAACACGTTGAGGATCAACGCGACTCCCACATTCGCCGTCGCCTCGGTGCACGCGTTCGGCGTGTTGCAGAAGAGGATGCCGCGCTCGCTCATTCGGTCTACATCCGCATGGTCGTAACCGTGTCCCGAACAACTGATCAGCTTCAGCGTATCCGGCATCAGCTCCAGCGGCTCCCCACGCAGGAGCTGTTCGGATTGTGCAGCATACGGTCCGGCCTTCAGCCAGCCTGTCCAGACGAGTGCTTCTATTCGCGTGTAGGGATGATTGGGCGTTTTGAGACGTGAAATGAACTCGGCCACCGTAGAGCAGTCGTACTCGAGCACCTCAAATCTCTGCGCGATCCCGGCCCACCTGGTCGCATCTTGGGCGCCCGTGGAAGAGTGGATGAACAATACAGTTGGCTTTTCGATATTCATTGAGGACGCCGCAGCTGGTGGGAATTTTGAACCCATTGGATGGGCATGATAAGGCGCTTTTGCAGACGAGAAAAGGAGGGGGGAGAGACCTCGTTCATCTCTCCATCTCTGCGGCACTTTTTGATTGTAATCGAGGTTGTTCGGAGGTCTATCAAGCCCCCGGGGGTCCTTTATGCGGTTGACTCTGTGACCCGCCCGCGACTTCATCCGATGCCGTTAGATTAGACGAAAGGGTGGACCTTCCTGTAACATCGGGTTTCGGCCACGGAATTCGGGGCACCGGAAACGAATGACCTTACACCGATCAGTTTCGTGGAGCAGCCCACGGACAAGAGGGGGCGTTAGCGGCCAAGTTCGTTCTTATACCGATTTATTCTGCCTTGTTTTTTTTGGTTTTTTTTTGTGGCTGTTGATACACACGTAGCCGCTTCAATTAACGAATGTCTGTCGACGAGGTCACTCGCCTTGAGGTCTTCGTGCTTGGAAAGCATCATGCTTATTTTTTACCTGTAACCGTCGGATAAGCTGCTAGACACCAGGATCGATAAAATCTCCAGGTCATTGTTGGAAGGAAACCTCGGGACCACCACTACTTGGGTATTTTGACTTGGATGAGAAGAGAGAAAAAGGGGCCCCTTTCACTCGTTTGGTCAGAAGCTCATCTCTATCTTTTCATCCTCCTGGCACGGTCTTCCCACTCTCACTACGGCCCGTCGTGCCTTCAAATCCATGATTATGTTGAACAAAGTGGCACTGTGACTGCCCTGGCTGGGGTTGGGGGATCGACAAATTGCTGCGGGCCAGTTGTCTTCGTCCTCGAAAATCGACTCCACCTCCCTCCACGTCGGTTCTCGACAATCAGCGCCGGCAGAGGCATCTCTGACGAGATTGGAATGAAGCTCGTCCGTCAGTACACGGATGCGCTCGAGGCGGTGTTCGGAATCTGGTAGCCATTTCGGCTCTGTGACGCCAGGATGGACACCGAGCAGATGGTTTGTGTGGAGTATCCGACCTCGGTCATCCGTGTTGAGTTCTGAGACGGTGGTAGCTGTCACTTCCAAACCGGTTGCGTCTTCCGAGTCGGCGATGAGGAGGTGGGCCGAACTAGCCATCCCGTGAGCTTGCAGTAACTGGACCGCGGCCCGTGCGGACATCTGTTCGAGAGCGATGCGCAGACCTAGGTGGATTGGAATGCCAGCCGTGGACACGCCGGACGCCCGGATCGCATTCAGACAGACTCCGACACCACACGAGTTTAAACCAATCTTGCCGATGATGCCTGCTTCGGTGATCATTTTGATCATGGGCTGTCCAGGTTGGATGATGCTCAACTGAATCAGGTTTTGCTTTTGGTCTTCCATCCACTGCACGCGTCAAGCAAGGGACACAGGTCAGCGAAACCCAAAAATTTGTGTGTTGCTGTTCTCCGTGAGGGTGCCACATACATCCCAGTTCTGAGCGAGAAACGTATTGCCCTTCGTCCTCCAGTAGAGGCTTGTACATCCGTCGCTGAAGAGCCCGAAAGCGATCTCGGTCCGCACATTCAGCGCGATTATGTCGAGTAAGTCGAGCTGACTCCCACTGGCGATCCCTTTGGTCACATGGCGATCAGTCTGCTGCAACTCGGCTTGTTCTGCCCACGGAGGTCTTGGAACTGGCGGTTTTGTTCCCATACCTCGCATCTCTTCATAGTACCGAGGCCATCGTCGACTGATCTCGACACCGAACTCACGGGCAACCTCCCGTACTTGGGGCCACTGACGTTTACTATAACGAACAAACAGACCAGAGTAAAAGTCGACGGAGCGTGCAATTGCATGTCTGGCTGCGTGCCCATGGTCATATCCAACCTGAACGAAATGGTCAGTATCCAGCTAAAGGGACGTGAGATAGGATCAAACTTTACACACCTCATAAGGGGTGCCACTGCATTCGACGGTAAGCATCTCGACAGTCGCTAGATCCAGACGTGAGCGTGTGGCAGCATTAGATGACACCATACCAACATTTCTGCTCGGCGAGCTTGCAATAATAATAGCACATTGAGGCGGGTGGCGGGGCGCTTACCATCAGACTGACGGCCCCAACACGCATTGCTCACTTGCATGAGCATATCTCGGCAGAGGGACTGCTTAGGCCGAATCTCTGTGCTGTGACTAAAGCCAGACGTTAAGAGAGAACAGGGTATACAATTTTGAAAGGGGAAAGAGGTGATTGCACCTCCGCGTCTTTGGCCTAGATGCGCCTTCGCAGGAATCTGAGATCAATCGTCTCTGGTCAGTGGTTCACTTCCGTACAGGTCTTGGTTCTGCGTATCCCATTCGAAAACCCATTGTGGAGGTGAGATAGAACTACCGCCAATCGCCCCGAGACCTTCAATTGTCGCTGGCCATTGTAAATCCGAATAAGCGAGAAAATTTTGGAGGAAGGGATCGTCGAGCGCAGACCCAGTAATCAGTGCGTTTGAAGTCGCGTTGGCATCCTGACACAGGCCGTCCCCCACGGGTGCTGGCAAAGCGGTCGGGAGAGACTCGACTGCTACATCTGTTTCCAGTCCGTCCTGCATCAGATCGAGACCTTCTCCCGGTTGTCGCAAGCTTTTTGTCTGAAAGGCGGTTATTGTGGTCTGTAGTTGCATGAGGTGGCCGTAATATCTGTAGGCCGGTAGATTGCCCTCCTCTGAGATGGTTTTCAATAGATAAATCGCCGTGCTCACAGCCTCGGAATCAGACGTGTCGGGCCGCAACAGTGTTTCAATGAGCAGGACCAGGGTCGACGAAAAGAGGTACTGCGCGTCAAAAAACCCGAATGTGGCAAGCGAGCCATCGACCCAAAGCTGGTCGAGAATTTGATTCGAGCTTCGCGCGGCATGAACACACGCCTCAGCTAGGGCGGTGGTGATGGTCGATATAGGTGGTGGTGGCTCACCATTTAGTCCCTCGAAATTGGAATGGAGCTTTGATTTCAAGGCGTAAAACAAGATCGGCCGCGTCGTAAGTATGACACACTTTTGTTTTTGGGAGTCAATATACATGGGAAGGATCATCACTAGATCTACTACTCCAGGGACTGCATACCTGATTGAAACAGAGATGAAGGGACGCCACATGTCTGGCCGTGTACCTGCGAGTTGGGTCCTGCTGCAGCCGAATTACCTCGGGGAGGGTTTCGGCCCATGACCTCAATCTGCGTAAGATTTTTTGCACGCTTTGAACGAAGACCTGGCGACGGCAATTTTTGTTGTAGATATGGTTCATAATATCTCCTGTGATCCTCGCTAGATGCACATTGGCGATAAGGTGCTCGGGCTCGGAGAACTCGGCCATTTCTGCAGCGCTGAGGCCCTTCATGGATGGTATGGCAACATCAATGTCGTCGTCTCGTATCATGATGGGATGGCCTAGTTTGGAACTCCAAATGCGGTCAAAGATGTAGACCGTCCACCAGACTCGGATGCGGCGTTCTCGCTCGATCGGACTGAACATTTGATTTTGAGGGACGTTGTGATGGAGACCCAGCGTTAGGCTCAACCGAAGCGCGGTTCCAGCGTAGACGTATGCCGAATTTGCTCTGTTCAAGGCTAGAGAGTAGATGGACTGGGCAAATATGTTAGCCGGACTTGGGATGCCCAAGGTCTCGAGTGCGTCCACAGGAAACCAGTCAGAATGTGTCTCTATGTGACTTACGATGAGGAGCAGGGCTTCGATGTAGGACACGGTGGCTTCCTCACGAATCTCTTGAAAGAGACTCATGGCACGGACAAAGAACCACAGACCAGGCACGTTTGGCGCGCCTTGAACCTTTTGGCTCTCTTTTGCTTTGTTGGTGTACAGCTCCCCCAGAGCGAAAATGGTAAAGAGACGGCAGGCCAGAAGGGGATCCTGCTCTATGGTGAGCCGACCGACATAGAGTTGGTTGAGCTGTTCCAAGATTTGCTTCCTCATCATCAAGTGATAGTCCAGCCCCACGAGACGAATGGCCACACGGATGAGGAACACGGCATGAGCACGTGGGGGAAGCGCGTATTCTGTGAAAATGTTCTGTGATAGCACTTCGTCACCCACCAGGCGCGCCCGCGGAATGGGCGAAGGAGAGGTGTTACGGTCGAGGTACTGGTACAAACGGGTGCCGAAGGCAGTGCATGATGCCTCCCCGACATAGGCGGCTTGCGACGAGGTAGAATCATGGACAAACCAGGCACGATCCTCGACCAATGGATTCGATATTACCACGTCGGCATTGCCGGGGCTTTCCAACTCCTGCTGCTGCTCTTGGTCGTCGTGGTTCTGCATGGGCGCGATAGGTTTGGATGGTGGGACGTTGTTGCTGGTTGTGTCGCCAGCGGCCGCATGCCGGCGGACTGCTGCTTTCAATCTCGCATTCTCTTCCTCCAGCCGACTTATCTGGCTGAGATGGCATCTTTTTAGCGGTCCCAAACAAAAGAAGGTGTCTGTCATGTGGCAGCAATTGCGAACAAACCTTTCATGTACGAGGATCTTCCGATCTTTCGTGGGGTACACGCATGACACGGCAGTTTTGGACTGCTCGCAATTCCGACAAGGCTGCTCGCGTGAACATTTGATCTTGTGAGAATGGCAGCGTACGCAGCTAGAGGGTGAGTTAGATGATCAAGTCCCACGTTGTTGATTATTATGCTTGGAGAGAATGCTACGCACGCTCCATCACGTCTCACTCTCTTTGCAACTGGTATTGTGACAGCGTCATCATTCGGAGATCGAGATCGAGATCGAGACATATCCTGAGTATTGATATTGCTCATCGCTGCGGTTTCTTCGATCCACGAGGTACCTCTTAAGACCCTTTTGCTTGTAGCATTTCTGGTAAAGCAGCTGCCAGAAGAGATTGTCCGCCCATCCAGTCCCATTCCAGGGCCTCGACCACAGATGGTTTAGGGCTCGATGGTGTGCAGCAAAGCAGTAGAGAAGGAGTGCCTTTCGCCCCAGGATCCAAGGCTGTTCCGGCTTATCTTATGGTTATCCCGAGCACCGCCCGGAAGTAGCGAGCGTCTCTATTACATAATCTCCGAGGTTAATCTAATTAATGACTTTTGGCCGGACTTGGAATCTTGGATTGATAAGACAGCAACCAATCATTGACCGGCTAATGCGCCACAAGATTTCATGCATCTTTCCAATGCATATCAACAGACTTTACAAACATCTCGATCGGGCCAACAGCGTCCGTACGATCAGAGTTTGGGACTAGGTGACGTCGAAACTAGCGACCTTTCGATGTTCGCAAGTGAGTCCATTGCCGCACGAACTCCAGCTTTGACCTCTTCGCTGGGTTTTTGGTATGGGCGTCGAGGCAAGAGCTTTTCTTCACATTCTGTGATCCCCGCCGCCGGCGCCGAGTATGTAGCCACGGCGTATTTGGTGGCAGCGATCCCGGACTTGATTGGGCTTTCCGCCAAAGCCGCCCTCTGGTGTAGCTTCAGAGCTTCACGAATCCTGCCGTGACTGTAGAGCTGATGTATTCGACAAATGGTTTTGGGAAACACATTCGCAAACGCGGCGATACACCCACTCGAGCCGACTCCAAGACCACCGAGTAAGAAATCCGACTGGCCACCGAACGTAGCAAAGTCACAAGAAGGGAAACTCGCTGCCAGGCGAACGATTTTGGCTACGCTGCCGCAGGTCAGTTTGACGCCCACGATCTTTCCCGGATTCCGCTTGACGATTTTGGTGATCAGCTCCGAGTCCAGATCGACTCCATTGCAAACTCCAGGAAAATTGTATATGACAATAGGCAGAAGAGACTCTCGAGCAACTTGGTCGTAAAAGTCCACAATAACCGCTGGCGTGGTTGCTTTTCCGAAGTAGGCTGCAGGAAGAAGCAGGGCATAGTTGGCCCCGGCTTGAGCTGCGTCGTCTATCAACTGCAATACCTGACGCGTTGAGTGGGATCCAACACCGGCCATGATGGGAAAGTTCGGCCCGGTCGCCGCCCGCGCTATTTGGATGAGCTGGAATCGTTCTTCTCTCGTCAAGAGAAAGGCTTCGGCATTCGTGCCGAGAATGACAAGGCCGGCGAGACCGGTCGTACTCAGGTACTCGTAATACTTGGACTGCGCTTCGAGATCGAGGTCCTCCGTGACAGGATTGAAGAATGTCACAGCTGGGCACCAAATCCCAGAAGGTGGTACTGAGCTGGCAGAGATAGAGGCCATCGTTGTGTCCCCTAAGAGCTTGTTTCACGAGTGCTAGGTGACAAGCTAGGGCCTCTCCAAGTGGTATGCTGGACCTGCAACAGGACGCCCACGGCTTCTTAAAGTCACCGATTCGTACCAAGGTCTGTCAGGCTTCGGTTTTTGAGAATTTCCCCCTCGGCATTTCGTGCTTGAAGACCGAGTGAAGTTGGTGAAGACGATATGGAAGCTCGCTCGAGGCAATATCAGACAAGAGCACGGTCGAATACCAGTGACCTTGACCTTGACCTCGACCTCGACTATACGCTCCTCTCTTACACGCTTTCTACTTTCCAGCCTCCCAGAACGACCAACCGGATTATAGATGGCGACCAGATCGATCGGATCGCTGTTCTCAGCAGTTCCGCTGGCGCCATCAGATGCCGCGTTCGCCCTGACGACAGCTTACAATGCCGACACATCTCCCAACAAAGTCAGTCTAGGCTCTGGAGTGTACAGAGATGACAATGGTGAGCCGTGGGTCTTGCCTGTCGTCAAGAAGGTCAGCAACTCTCCTAGCCGTTCGAATTTCAGACTACATTCGTCTACTAATTCGGAACAGGCCAAGTCGAGACTTGACGCCGATCCAACGGTGAACCACGAGTACCTTCCCATTGTCGGTCACGCCGAGTTCATCACAGCCGCCCAATCGCTCGTTTTTGGTACAGATGACGAAAGCATGTGCTCCCGCATTGCGTCGGTTCAGTGCATTTCGGGGACGGGCGCAAATCACCTCGGGGCCAGATTCTTCGCCGACACGACCCAACCGAAGCAAGTCTGGATCTCGGACCCGACATGGGACAATCATCACTTGATCTGGACTCTGGTAGATGACAAGATTCAACAGAGAGTCTACCCCTACTACGAAAATACCTCGAGGTCTTTGGACTTTGACGGTATGGTGGACGCGATACAGAGGGAAGCCATGGCCGGAGATGTCATTATTCTTCACGCTTGCGCCCACAACCCTACCGGCATCGATCCCTCCCGAGAAAAATGGAAGGCAATTGCGGCCCTCTGTGAGACCAAGAAGTTGTTACCCTTCTTCGACTGTGCTTAGTGAGTCGATATCCACGGCCTCTACTCGCGCCATCAGAGTCTGACAGACACGCACACAAAGTCAAGGGTTCGCTACCGGTTCTCTTGACGAGGATGCTTGGCCGATCAGGCACTTTCTTTCCAGACAGACGCTGGAATTCGGCGTCGCACAATCATTCGCCAAGAACTTGGGTCTGTATGGAGAGCGAGTGGGCGCATTCCACCTGGTCACGTCGACGGCGGCTGATTCGGTAACGAACGTCCGCTCTCAACTCGCACGGCTTACGCGGGGCGAGATATCAACACCTCCTGTCTATGGGGCGCGCATTGCGGCAACCGTGCTACGCGATCAGGCTCTCTTCGACGAGTGGAAAATCGACCTCCAAACAATGAGTGGACGCATTCGAGCCATGCGATCCGCGTTATACGAGGCCCTGCGCGCATTGGAAACTCCCGGCGATTGGAGACACGTCGTGGATCAGATCGGCATGTTCTCCTACACTGGATTGACCCCGGCGCAAGTTGAGCTGCTCAGAAAAGATTACAGTATCTACATGCTTGCTTCGGGCCGAATATCCATCGCTGGCTGTGAGCTGTTCATCAAATCCTTGACCTTGTGCACGCACTGACGGGGACGTGAAAATACAGTGAACACGCACAATGTTGCGTACGTAGCAAACGCAATCGATCAAGTCGTTCGCAGGCTTCAGCGATGAAGAGCAACAGACACGCGGCCGCCCAGTAGAAATGTGTGTTTCTCAACATCATGTTTGGTAGACATCAGTGAGACAAATGATCATATGTGTTTTTATTTGTGTGCTCGTCCTAGATCTAGAATTCAAAATAGGCTTTTTCTATTATAGACCGTTGATGCAAAAGACAAATTGGCGAACAAGGGACGAATACTGACACTCACATTCCCTGTCCCCCGCCCGGGGGGGGTTTCCCTATAAATGTTCTTTCTCAAAACAGTCTCACCCGGTCTTTTATTGTGAACTCAGTCTCCAGCTCGGGTTCCGCGACTTTATCCGGCGAGACGCCATAACCGCCACCGCCTGGCGTCAGGACAACGATGCGGTCGCCAACATTCATATCCACACTTGCCTTACCACCCAGGCTAATGGTTCTGGTGGAGCGGTCGTCCGGGTCATTTCGAACCCAGAGGTTGATTCCCCGCGCGCCTTCCTCCCCGCCAGCCATGCCGTAGGGCGCAATGACACGTCGTTCGGATAGAATGCTGACCTGCATCGGGCGGCGGATCTCGATATCTCGCACACAACCGTCGCCTCCGCGGTGACGGCCGGCGCCGCCACTGCCGGCCCGGATGGAGAACTCGCGCAGCAAGACCGGGTACCGCTTTTCCAACGTTTCTGGGTCCGTCATCCGTGTGTTCGTGATGTGCGTGTGAACTCCGTGCTGACCGTCCCAGTCGGCTCCGGCGCCTGAGCCTCCGGCGATGGTTTCGTAGTACCCGAACCCCTTGACAACACGGCCCTCGTCGTCGGTACCGCCGTAGCCGAATGTCAAGTTGTTGCACGTCCCTTGACTGGCTCCGGCAACGCGGAAGGCCTTGTAGATGACGTCCACGATCCGCTGAGAGGTCTCGACGTTGGAGCCGACCGTCGCTGCCTTCAAATTTGGCTTGAGGATTGAATTCGGTGGACAGATGACCTCGATCGGCGTCAGACAGCCTTGATTCAGCGGGATGTCCGCGGCCACCATCGTCCGAAGGCAGTACATGATACCACTGAACATGATCGCCGGAGGAGCATTCAGATTGTTCCAGGCTTCTGGCCCGGTCCCGGTGAAGTCGAACTTGGCCGAACCATCTTGGGGATCGATGGTGATGTTCAGAACGAGAGCCGTCCCGTCATCGAGATGGTCAACGGCGCGCAGGGGCCGTCCTCGAAATCTCTTGCTGAACACCTTGAGGAGTGCACGGATGGTGTTCTCGGCATTCTTCTGAATGCCGTCCATGTAGAACTCGACGACAGGCCACGTATATTCGTGAATGAGTCCGTGAATGAGGTTGATGCCTCGCTGGTTGGCGGCAATCCCGGCCTTGAGATCTGCGATGTTGTCCTTCAAAGTCCGGGTGCCAGAACAGCCCGGGTATTTGCCGGGGGCCTCAAATAAGAGGTGTATCAAACCCTCCTCGTCAAAAACACCTTGATTGACCAGCTTAAAAGACTCGATGGCGGCGCCTTCCTGCCACAACTCGGTGGAATTGGGTGGCATCGAACCGGCCGCCATCCCGCCAATGTCCGCGTGGTGACCTCGGTTGGCGACGAAAAAGAGGATGTCATTGGGGTGGTCATCATCATCGAACACGGGTGTTATCACCGTAAGGTCGGGGAGATGCGTGCCACCCGCGCAGGGATGATTGGCGAGTAGAACGTCGCCGGGCTTGAGCTCACCTTTGGCATAGCGTTCGGCTTGATAGCGGATTGCGTAGCTCATGGAACCCAAGTGGCCCGGAATATGGGGTGCGTTGGCGACCAGTCTACCACTGGCGTCAAATACTGCACAACTGTAGTCGAGACGTTCCTTGATGTTGGTCGAGATTGAGGTTTTCCGGAGTGTCTCTCCCATCTGAAAGCGAGCGTTAGTTTCTCTGAAACACTTTCAGTTCTCCCACAAAAGAGAGAGAGACGTCTTCTCACCTGCTCGGCAACACTCATGAATCGATGACCAAAAACGGAGAGGCGGATAGGGTCGATCTCCTCGATCCCGATATCCGCATCCTTTGTATCCAGCAATTCGATGACAACATGCTCGGATAAAATGCTTGCCTGACTGTCGGGGTCGAGGACGATTGTCTGCGTCTCATCGACCACCAGGGCTGGACCACGCAGTCGCGTGCCTTTCGGGGTGGTGTTGAGATGGTAGATTCTGGCATCTACCCAGCCCTGCTTCTCGAAATACACTTTTCGAACGAATTCGTCGCCCAATGCTGGCGTCGGGATCGATGAGCCCTGGATCTGATTCAGCTCAGAAAAAGGACTGGCGGTGGGGAGATCCGTTCCCTTTCCGATTCCTCGGACCCGAATGTCGTCGACCAATATTTCTCGTGGCTGGTCAAACCCAAATTCGCGCCTGTGCCGGGTTATAAAAGTTGTGTCAAACCCTTGATCGGGGCTCGACTGGATCATGAGAGAACTGTCACTGCCGCGGTAACGCATATTGAGATAGCTCTCGCAGGTAATTCTGTCGGCTGGGAAACCCTGGGAAACCAGCTGGCCGATCGCCCGCTCCTTCAACACCTCGAGACGTCCTTGGATCCTTTGAGCGGCAGCCGAGGAGAAAACGACAGACTCGGGCTCCTGAAGATCGACGACGACATCTGCCAGAGCCATGCCGTACGCCGACAAGATGCTCGAATATCGATGGATGATGACTCGCTTGATACCCAGATCCCGTGCCATGGCAGTGGCGTGTTGGCCACCGGCGCCTCCGAAGCAGACGAGATGATGAGAAGAGGTTTCAAACCCGCGGCCTTCGCTGAGAGAGCGAATCGGGCGAGTCATGGCAGCGTTGGCGACCTGCAAGAACCCCATGGCAACCTGCTCAGGGGTCAAGACATCTTGTCTTTGCGAGTTGATCTCGGTGGTCAATTCCAGGAACCGCTTCTCCACCACGGCCATGTCCAAGGGACGAGCAAAATAATCTGGCAAGATGCGCCCGAGGAAGAAGTTGGCATCGGTGATTGTGAGTGGCCCCCCCTTTGCATAACACGCGGGTCCAGGATCAGCCCCGGCGGATTCTGGCCCGACTACAAAGAGGCCATTGCTGTAGAACAGCCGGCTCCCTCCACCAGCGGCGACTGTGAAAAACCAGTTTCAGCAACGGATCATAATGCAATGATAGTAACTAAGTACGAGTTACTAGATAAACACTTACCAGTCTGAACATCGAGTTGAGGTGTTTGGATGGTCACTTGGGCCGTCGTTGTTTCAAACACATGTTCAAACTCCCCGCTGAACCGTGACACGTCCGTGCTCGTGCCTCCCATGTCGAAGCCCAAGATGGGCGTGCGTGACTCGTGGTCAAAGCAAGTCTTTGCACAGCCAATAACACCGCCTGCTGGGCCTGACAAGATGGCTCGAAGGCCCGTGAATGCGTTGATGGGAGTTAGCCCGCCATCAGACTGGCAGAGGAGGAACTTGTTTGCGTTTTTGTCGAGAAGGTGACCTTTGAACGAGGTTCGAAAGCTGTTCAAATAGCGCGTAATGACTGGGGACAGATAGGCATCTGCCGTCGCTGACTGAGCTCGAGGCACGATCTTGATCATAGGCTGTAACTCGGATGAGACGGAGACGTTGAAGCCCATACTGCGGGCGATTTTGGCAATGGCTGCTTCATGATTCGGATAGGCGTATGAGTGGAGCAGTGCCAGAGCGATATCTCGATAGCCCTCTTTCCAAAGCCTGTGCAAGTCTTTGGTAACGGCGTCCAGATCAGGTCGCTTGAGGATGCGGATTGCCTCGCCTGTTAAACCTTCCACGAGCCCGACATCTGAGCTCACGTCGATAGGCAACGGATCGGGATCTTCAGAGAAGCCCTCCACGGTGACTCTCTCATCGACTTCGACCACCGTCTCATACAGCACATCAAGCTTGGTGATGGACAGATCGAACAGATGGGGCCGAGCCTGATTTCCAATGACCAACAAGTCGTGAAATCCCTTGGTTATCATCAGAGCCACGCGCTCGCCCTGTCTTTCGAGGAGTGCACTGGTCACAAAGAATCAGCGTATTTTCCTTCCCACGTTTTGTTTGCTCATCAAAAACGAGGGATAGGTCTGTCTCACTTGGTGGCTACCGTTGTGCCCATGCGAATAGACTCGACTCCATCGAGATCGATGAGAGCGCCCTTTGGGATTTCTTTGCCCCTGGCGATGCCAAGTATCCTTCGAATGCCTTCCGTAGGGGCATCCTCGTACTGATCAGGGGCATTTGAGAGAAGTTTAAATACCAGTGCATCCTCCCGCCCAGGAATCCGTGCCCAGCTATATTCCGACACACCGGGTCAGTTACAGCAAAAATAAACAAGTGTATTCTGTCTCACAAGTCACAAAAGGTGCCTCCCCGGTCAACTGCAATTCGAACTCCTGGACAATCCAACTCTGTTGCCAGCGTCGTGGAACGGTTGTCGTAGGACCCCATCACCAAAATCCAGGCACCAAATATCAAAGGGTTGATTTGGGTCTATGGAACGCTCTCTTAGCCATGACAACGCTGGCAATCTGTCTTAAGAGAGCTTCTACCGCGGACTTCACCACGAGAGAAGGAGTACTGGGCATTTCAGGCCAAGGCATGTCCTCGCGCTCTTTCGGGATTGATGGGCGTTTATGCCGGGCCCACATTCCTATCACTATCCCTCGGCGACCTGCGCCATATACCGATCTTTCCTATCTTAGACTTTAGTCCAAAAGGCCGGGACTCGTCAAAGGAAGCCCGATCGTGGCATACACAACTCCAGTTGGCTTCGACCCCGTGTAGGTCATAGGACAAGTTGATGTGTCGGACTATGTTATAATCCAGTCCCCACGTCTTGTCGATGGCGACTCTTGAACAGCTCATAATCTTCTCGCAACACGTCACAATCTATTTGGTGGAGAGCTCTGTGG